GATCAAGAAATGAGATTACTTTGCTATCAACAGTGTATGTTAATTTTATAATTCAGGTACACAAGAAAACTCTCCAATTGCCCTACATCATTATCCCAAAACACCAGGACATCATCAATATATCTTTGCCATTTCACCACATGTTGGTTAAAGGGAGTTGATGTATATACCAATTCTTCCTCCCATAGCCCTAAGTGGAGGCAGACATATGCAGGGGCCCAAGGTGCTCCCATCGATGTACCATGGATTTGTTGATAAAAGGTACCCAAAAATTGGAAACAATTATGTGTTAAGATGAATTTCAAAAGATCCAGAATGAATTCATTTTGGGCTTCCATTTCAGGGAATTGTACTTCCAGGAAATGTGCTATAGCTCTAAGTCCCCATTTATGTGGAATAGAGGTATAGAGGGATTCAATATCTATACCAACTAAAAGTGCTCCTCCCGGTACCCATGAAGTGTTCAATTTTAGAGAGAACATCTCCTGTATCTTTAACATACGATTTGAGTCCAATTACCAGGTCTTTAATCAGATAATCTATAAACTTACCAACTGTTTCAAGTGTGCCTTTTATAGCTGATACTATTTGGCGTCCTGGAGGTTGGGTTGGGTTCTTGTGTATTTTTGGTATCACATAGAATGTGGGGATATTATAAATATCTACTGTTAACATCTCAGATTCTTGTTTAGTTAACAAGTTCGCTTCAAAATCCCATTTGTATTTCAATGGTTTTTATTAATTTTAAACAGTATAAAACAGAGGCAACAGAGGCAACAAAACACGCCCACGCAGGGGCTATCAATTGCACCGATAGAAAATGCATAATAGAGCAGACAACGCTCTAATTCCAATAAGGCAAAACGTATGCCCGCGCAGGGGCTATCAATGGCACATAGGTTACAATAACATCAGTGAAACTCAGATTATCGCACCTAAAGACAGCTGTCCACTGTCACATCAAAACAAACAGAAAAGGAAAGAAGAAAAGCAGAGAAGAAAGAAAGAGAAAAAAGAAAAAAAAAACAAAAAAAAAAAAAACAAAAAAAAAAAAACACACACCAAAGAGCAAGGGTCCATGAGCGCCAATACAAAACTCCTTCACCTCCCTACACTGGCAGGGGGGAGCGTGGGAAAGGCATATTGCAACCACGGCTCCCATATTGTCAAAAATTTATGTTGAGAGTCGTTGCATATACTCGACATCTGTTCATTGAGCATCATAGTAGTCATACGATCCCGCACCCCCTGAAAAAGTACAAACGGACTCTTCCAGGCCTGGGCAATTGTCCTAGTGGCCGATAAAAACAAATAGGAAGCCAACCGCTGCTGACGAGCCAAGAGGCCCGGTATGGGGCAATGAAGCAAAGCATACCGAGCATCCCGGCGTATGGAGAGATGAAACAAAGTGAAAAGGAGGCCAAACACACGAGACCAAAAACGAACCAACCTCGGGCATGACCACCAGATATGCAGTACATCGCCACGATGGCCACAACCCCGAAAACATCGATCACTACAGGCAGGGTTAGCCTGGGCCAAACGAGCCGGCACCCAATACCAACGAAACAATACCTTATAGGCTGCTTCCAGCGTGGTCGTATTAAACGAACATTTAGCTATGAGTGACCAGGCTTTATGCCAGTCCTCCGGATCCACAGCCACTCCCAGGTCGCGTTCCCACTGAACTACATATGAAAGAGAAGTGTGCGACGAGCATCTGTTCAAAGCTGCGTAAAGAAGGGAGATAAGGCCCGGGGCGCCCGGACGCTGTTGGCAAAGCCGTTCAAAGGCAGATTTCTGATATGGGAAAGCAGAAGTGGCCCTCAGCGAGAGCAGCCAGTGCCGCAATTGAAGGTACCGAAAAAAATTCCGCTGGGGGAACATCCCGAGACTCCCGGAGGACATTCCAGGTGGGAAAGGACCGAAAAATCAAAAAGTGTTGCACCTGTGAGAAACCATGAGCCACCCACCAAGAAAATGCCCTCGGGTGATCTAGACCCGGCGGGAAAAGAGGATTATTAACGATTGGAAGCAAGGGCAAGAAAGGCGACATCAGACCACTGGAGTAACGTACCGAGTCCCAGACTCGTAGGCCATGGAGCAACATCGGACTCAGCACCGTAGGGCGCAGGGCAGGGGGAAGCCATAGAAGTGTCGATAGTGCGATAGGGGCACAATTAGGTAGTTCCAGCAGGACCCAGAGAGGAACGTCGGAGGAAGCGTGCAACATAGACAGTGGGGCAATTTGGCTCGCCTGATAATACTTAGTTACATTGGGTACCCCAAGACCACCTTGGAGTCTATGAGCAAAGAGCGTATTTCTAGAAACTCTGGGATGCTTATTGGCCCAGATAAATCAAAATCCCATTTAATCTTCCTATTGATAGCCTCAACTATTTTAGGGATTGGATTTATATGTAGTTTATGGTATGTACTTGGGTCCTTAAGTTGTCTCATTATCTCTTTTTCATACTCATTGCTTTGCATAAGCACTACATTTTCCCCCTTGTCACTTTTCTTAATTACTATGTCTTTTGCATTTTTTAGCTCTATTAGTGCCCTTCTTTCATCTTTAGTGAGGTTATCTGGGTTTTCATAAATTTTTACTGTGGTGTTCATGAAGGAACATTTAAAGAAGGAAACGATTCCACTAGGCTACTATATATGGAACTTCACTGCAGATGAATACAGAAAGGAAACTCCATTGCCTCATATTGGTCATTGTTTGCCTATACAGATGTTTTTGAAGACGTTGAACGGTTCTTTATTTTAATTCTTTGATTTTATTGTGATTGCAACATTTTCACACTGTCAATGTTTTTTTATGATCTAAGTGATCGAATAAATACAATATCGCATTTACATTTGTAGTAATATTACACCGCATAGGATTTGATTAACCACTTCCCAGGCGGTTTTGCACTAGTCAACTGCCATTTTTTTGTGTGGTATACACATAGTTACACTGATCAAAGCTGGACTAACTATGTCGATGCCTGGAAATATTCTTTAAAGTGCAGGTTTAGGAGTTAGGCAATGGCTTAGAGTTAAGAGTAAGGTTCTGGTTTATGGTTATAAATAGGAGTTGTAGTTCAGAGTTAGAATTAAAAGCTACATTGCAGTTTAGGATTAGTTTTGGGGGTTAGGTTTAATTTCAGGATTATATTTAAGACTTACATTGTATTCTAGTATTAGTTCTAGGAGTTAGGCCGCAGTTTGGGTACACATTTATTGGGGTTGAGGATTAAGGTTATGAGTCAGGTTGCGATTTAGAGTTGACTTAGATGCTGGGTTGAACTGTAGAGTTCATAGTAAGGTTGTGGTTTAGGGTTATATGTAAGAGATAGGTTCTAGTTTAACCAATTCAATACCGGGCAATTTTACACCTTCCTGCCCAGGCCAGTTTACAGGTTTCAGCGCTCTCATACTTTGAATGACAATTGCGCGGTCATACAACATTGTACCCAAACTAAAATGTTATCATTTTCTTCACACAACTAGAGCTTTCTTTTGGTGGTATTTAATCACCGCTGGGGTTTTTTATTTTTTGCTAAATTAACAAAAAAAGACCAAAAATTTTGAAAAAAAAAAAACACGTTTTTCTTTGTTTCTGTTATAAAAGTTTGCAAATAAATACTTGTTCTTCATAAATTTAGGCCAATATGTATTCTGCTACATGTCTTTGGTGAAAATAACTAGAGATGAGCGAAGTATTCAAAAATTCGATTCGACTGATTCGGCGAATTCGTGGAAAAATTTCGGTTCGAGTCGAATATATTCGCTGTGAATTTAACTTAAAAAAGGGTGTTTCTAGGCTTCAGAGAGACTTAATATTAGTGCAGAACACTGTACCTTTAATTTAAATGCCCTTGGAGTCTGCTGGGGAAGAGAAATAATACTGTCAGTCAGTATGACATGCAGATGAGTGCCGTCGATCTTAGAATCACCGCACACTTCACTCATTTGGGCAGTCACGGGGCCAAAACCAGAGTGTGGAGCCACAGTGTGGCGGTGGAGGCAGCAGCAATGGGAGGCCATACAGCACCCTATGACAAAAATGGAAACCACCAGCAGTGTGAGGAGACCTGAAAGTGGCACATGGCAGAGTGTGGCGATAGAGAGACAGCAGCAATGGGAGGCCGTACAGGGACCCATGACACACTCTGGACCTGGCAGAGCATGAGGAGGCGGTACAGGGGGGGCCATGACAGATTACGGGCCTGGCAGCAGCATGAGGAGTCGGTACGGGGGCCCATGGCAGATTACGGGCCTGGCAGCAGCAATGGGAGGCCGTACAGGGACCCATGACACACTCTGGACCTGGCAGCAGCATGGGGAGGCGGTACAGGGGCCCATGACAGATTACGGGCCTGGCAGCAGCATGAGGAGTCGGTACGGGGGCCCATGACACACTCTGGACCTGGCAGCAGCATGAGGAGGCGGTACAGGGGCGCATGACAGATTACGAGCCTGGCAACAGCAACTTGGACAGGAGGACGTTCAGCTTCTGCACCGTCGGGTGCGTGCTCGCAAACTGTTGTCTCTTGGAAACGGATTCCAAGAAAGACTGCTGACGGAATCCGTGAAGTGAAGAGGAGTAGCAGGAGAAGGAGCATCTGAACGAGCGGAATATGCCAACAAGCGACAACAGGGGCCCATGACAGATTACGGGGCCTTACGGGCCTGGCAGCAGCATGAGGAGTCGGTACAGGGGACCATGGCAGATTAGGGGCCTGGCAGCAGCTATGGGAGGCCCGTAATCTGCCAGCACCCTATGACAAAAAATGGAACACACCAGCAGTGTGAGGAGACCTGAAAGTGGCACATGGCAGCAGAGTGTGGCGATGGAGACAGCAGCAATGGGAGGCCGTACAGGGACCCATGAGAGACTCTGGACCTGGCAGCAGCAGCATGAGGAGGCGGGATAGGGGCCCATGGCAGATTAGGGGCCTGGCAGCAGCTATGGGAGGCCCGTAATCTGCCAGCACCCTATGACAAAAAAATGGAACACACCAGCAGTGTGAGGAGACCTGAAAGTGGCACATGGCAGAGTGTGGCGATGGAGACAGCAGCAATGGGAGGCCGTACAGGGACCCATGAGAGACTCTGGACTTGGCAGCAGCATGAGGAGGCGGGTATAGGGGCCCATGGCAGATTAGGGGCCTGGCAGCAGCTATGGGAGGCCCGTAATCTGCCAGCACCCTATGACAAAAAATGGAACACACCAGCAGTGTGAGGAGACCTGAAAGTGGCACATGTTTGGGGCATGATTCATGGCGGATTTAGTCAGTTGTGTCAGGAACTGGTGGTTTGAAATCCAGACTAATCCACGCCTGATTCATTTTCACAAACGTGAGTCTCTCCACACTTTGGGTGGGACAGTCGTGTGTCCTCCGCGGAGTTGCAATACCTCCTGCCGCACTAAACACGCGCTCCGATGCCACGCTACTGGCCGGGCATGACAGCCTTTCAAGGGCAAATTCAGCTAGTTGGGGCCAAAGGTCAAGTTTCGTTGCCCAGTAGTCAAGGGGATTGTCTACCTCGGTTGGCAGGGTGCTGTCCAAGTAGGCCTAAGCCTGTTGTTTGAGGTCCTGCTCCAGGTCCACCTGATGCTGCTGCTGCTGCTCTGCGGCTGGTTAGTAGTTTCCTCACTGCGCTGGTGAAGAAAGCTACTCATCATCGACTGCAGACTGAGGCAGCCGCTGCTGGTGGAGCTGCCACACTGCTCCTACCACCCCACCCCTCCCCTGCTGCCATGGCAGCGGAACGCAGCAGCGCACAGGGCCCACAGTGTCTGAGGATGGACGTTGGCGCAGACAGGCAGAGACCAGCTGACTACATAGGTGGTTTTTATAGTACGTTATTTTGGCCTCCCTCTCAGCAGGTGTGAAAAAGGCCACCATTTTTGAACGGTAGCGAGGGTCCAACAAGGTGGACAGCCAAAAGTCATCCCTCTGTCTGATGGTTATTATTCGGCTGTCGCTACGCAAGCAAGCGAGCATGCTATGGGCCATTTGTGCCAAGGAATGCGAGGGACTCCCTGCCTCCATCTCCACAGCATACTGCCACGGTGCGTCTGGGTCCTCTGTCTCCTCTTCCTCCTCTCTCTACCAGATGCTCCTGCTCCTCCACTCCTGTCCGCTGAGTGGAAAAAAACACCCATTTCACTCAATAATTCCTGAGCACCAATGTCCTCCTCTACCTCCTCCTCTTCTTCCTGTCCTGCCCCCACAGGGGTCATGTGGCGTTGAGATCTGTGCGCCACGTCTACCGCACCCTGACCAGCCATTGTTAACAGCATTTGTTCCAGGACGTGCAACAGAGGAATGACGTCGTTCATCCCATAGTCCTGCCGACTCACGAATAGCGTGGCCTCCTCAAAGGGCCTGAGCAAGCGCAGGTGTCACGCATGAGCTGCCAATGGCTGACATCTAAGTTACACAGGGAGTACCTTTATCCGCTTTTAACATCAGGAAATCTGTGATGGCCTTTTGCGCTGTTCGTAAAGGCGGTCTAACATATGTAGGGTTGAATTCCACCTTGTTGCAACGTCACAGCATGAGGAGTCGGTATAGGGGCCATGGCAGATTAGGGGCCTGGCAGCAGCAGCTATGGGAGGCCCGTAATCTGCCAGCACCCTATGACAAAAAAATTGGAACACACCAGCAGTGTGAGGAGACCTGAAAGTGGCACATGGCAGTGTGGCGATGGAGACAGCAGCAATGGGAGGCCGTACAGGGACCCATGAGAGACTCTGGACCTGGCAGCAGCATGAGGAGGCGGTATATAGGGGGGCCCATGGCAGATTAGGGGCCTGGCAGCAGCTATGGGAGGCCCGTAATCTGCCAGCACCCTATGTCAAAAAATTGGAACACACCAGCAGTGTGTGAGGAGACCTGAAAGTGGCACATGGCAGAGTGTGGCGATGGAGACAGCAGCAATGGGAGGCCGTACAGGGACCCATGACAGACTCTGGACTTGGCAGCAGCATGAGGAGGCGGTATATAGGGGCCCATGGCAGATTAGGGGCCTGGCAGCAGCTATGGGAGGCCCGTAATCTGCCAGCACCCTATGTCAAAAAAATTCAACACACCAGCAGTGTGAGGAGACCTGAAAGTGGCACATGGCAGAGTGTGGCGATGGAGACAGCAGCAATGGGAGGCCGTACAGGGACCCATGACAGACTCTGGACCTGGCAGCAGCATGAGGAGGCGGTATATAGGGGCCCATGGCAGATTAGGGGCCTGGCAGCAGCTATGGGAGGCCCGTAATCTGCCAGCACCCTATGTCAAAAAATTGGAACACACCAGCCAGCAGTGTGAGGAGACCTGAAAGTGGCACATGGCAGAGTGTGGCGATGGAGACAGCAGCAATGGGAGGCCCGTACAGGGGACCCATGAGAGACTCTGGACTTGGCAGCAGCATGAGGAGGCGGTATATAGGGGCCCATGGCAGATTAGGGGCCTGGCAGCAGCTATGGGAGGCCCGTAATCTGCCAGCACCCTATGTCAAAAAATTCAACACACCAGCAGTGTGAGGAGACCTGAAAGTGGCACATGGCAGAGTGTGGCGATGGAGACAGCAGCAATGGGAGGCCGTACAGGGACCCATGACAGACTCTGGACCTGGCAGCAGCATGATGAGGAGGCGGTATATAGGGGCCCATGGCATGGCAGATTAGGGGCCTGGCAGCAGCTATGGGAGGCCCGTAATCTGCCAGCACCCTATGTCAAAAAATTCAACACACCAGCAGTGTGTGAGGAGACCTGAAAGTGGCACATGGCAGAGTGTGGCGATGGAGACAGCAGCAGCAATGGGAGGCCGTACAGGGACCCATGACAGACTCTGGACTTGGCAGCAGCATGAGGAGGCGGTATATAGGGGCCCATGGCAGATTAGGGGCCTGGCAGCAGCTATGGGAGGCCCGTAATCTGCCAGCACCCTATGTCAAAAAATTCAACACACCAGCAGTGTGTGAGGAGACCTGAAAGTGGCACATGGCAGAGTGTGGCGATGGAGACAGCAGCAATGGGAGGAGGCCGTACAGGGACCCATGAGAGACTCTGGACTTGGCAGCAGCATGAGGAGGCGGTATATAGGGGCCCATGGCAGATTAGGGGCCTGGCAGCAGCTATGGGAGGCCCGTAATCTGCCAGCACCCTATGTCAAAAAAATTCAACACACCAGCAGTGTGTGAGAGGAGACCTGAAAGTGGCACATGGCAGAGTGTGGCGATGGAGACAGCAGCAATGGGAGGCCGTACAGGGACCCATGACAGACTCTGGACTTGGCAGCAGCATGAGGAGGCGGTATATAGGGGCCCATGGCAGATTAGGGGCCTGGCAGCAGCTATGGGAGGCCCGTAATCTGCCAGCACCCTATGTCAAAAAATTCAACACACCAGCAGTGTGTGAGGAGACCTGAAAGTGGCACATGGCAGAGTGTGGCGATGGAGACAGCAGCAATGGGAGGCCGTACAGGGACCCATGAGAGACTCTGGACTTGGCAGCAGCATGAGGAGGCGGTATATAGGGGCCCATGGCAGATTAGGGGCCTGGCAGCAGCTATGGGAGGCCCGTAATCTGCCAGCACCCTATGTCAAAAAATTCAACACACCAGCAGTGTGTGAGGAGACCTGAAAGTGGCACATGGCAGAGTGTGGCGATGGAGACAGCAGCAATGGGAGGCCGTACAGGGACCCATGAGAGACTCTGGACTTGGCAGCAGCATGAGGAGGCGGTATAGGGGCCCATGGCAGATTAGGGGCCTGGCAGCAGCTATGGGAGGCCCGTAATCTGCCAGCACCCTATGTCAAAAAATTCACACACAGCAGTGTGAGGAGACCTGAAAGTGGCACATGGCAGAGTGTGGCGATGGAGACAGCAGCAATGGGAGGCCGTACAGGGACCCATGAGAGACTCTGGACCTGGCAGCAGCATGAGGAGGCGGTATATAGGGGCCCATGGCAGATGGCAGATTAGGGGCCTGGCAGCAGCTATGGGAGGCCCGTAATCTGCCAGCACCCTATGTCAAAAAATTCAACACACCAGCAGTGTGTGAGAGAGACCTGAAAGTGGCACATGGCAGAGTGTGGCGATGGAGACAGCAGCAATGGGAGGCCGTACAGGGACCCATGAGAGACTCTGGACTGGCAGCAGCATGAGGAGGCGGCGGTATATAGGGGCCCATGGCAGATTAGGGGCCTGGCAGCAGCTATGGGAGGCCCGTAATCTGCCAGCACCCTATGTCAAAAAATTCAACACACCAGCAGTGTGTGAGGAGACCTGAAAGTGGCACATGGCAGAGTGTGGCGATGGAGACAGCAGCAATGGGAGGCCGTACAGGGACCCATGACAGACTCTGGACCTGGCAGCAGCATGAGGAGGCGGTATATAGGGGCCCATGGCAGATTAGGGGCCTGGCAGCAGCTATGGGAGGCCCGTATCTGCCAGCACCCTATGTCAAAAAATTGGAACTACACCAGCAGTGTGTGACACCAGCAGTGTGTGTGAGGAGACCTGAAAGTGGGCACATGGCAGAGTGTGGCGATGGAGACAGCAGCAATGGGAGGCCGTACAGGGGACCCATGAGAGACTCTGGACTTGGCAGCAGCATGAGGAGGCGGTATATATAGGGGCCCATGGCAGATTAGGGGCCTGGCAGCAGCTATGGGAGGCCCGTAATCTGCCAGCACCCTATGACAAAAATGGAACACACCAGCAGTGTGAGTGAGGAGACCTGAAAGTGGCACATGTTTGAGGCATGATTCATGGCGGATTTAGTCAGTTGTGTCAGGAACTGGTGGTTTGAAATCCAGACTAATCCACGCCTGATTCATTTTCACAAACGTGAGTCTCTCCACACTTTGGGTGGACAGTCGTGTCCTCCCGCGCGGAGTTACAATACCTCCTGCCGCACTAAACACGCGCTCCGATGCCACGCTACTGGCCGGGCATGACAGCCTTTCAAGGGCAAATTCAGCTAGTTGGGGCCAAAGGTCAAGTTTCGTTGCCCAGTAGTCAAGGGGATTGTCTACCTCGGTTGGCAGGGTGCTGTCCAAGTAGGCCCAAGCCTGTTGTTTGAGGTCCTGCTCCAGGTCCACCTGATGCTGCTGCTGCTGCTGCTGCGGCTGGTTAGTAGTTTCCTCACTGCGCTGGTGAAGAAAGCTACTCATCATCGACTGCAGACTGAGGCAGCCGCTGCTGGTGGAGCTGCCACTGCTCCTACCACCCCACCCCTCCCCTGCTGCCATGGCAGCGGAACGCGAGCGCACAGGGCCCACAGTGTCTGAGGATGGACGTTGGCGCACAAAGGCAGAGACCAACTGACTACATAGGTGGTTTTTATAGTACGTTATTTTGGCCTCCCTCTCAGCAGGTGTGAAAAAGGCCACCATTTTTGAAACGGTAGCGAGGGTCCAACAAGGTGGACAGCCAAAAGTCATCCCTCTGTCTGATGGTTATTATTCGGCTGTCGCTACGCAAGCAAGCGAGCATGCTATGGGCCATTTGTGCCAAGGAATGCGAGGGACTCCCTGCCTCCATCTCCACAGCATACTGCCACGGTGCGTCTGGGTCCTCTGTCTCCTCCTCCTCCTCCTCTACCAGATGCTCCTGCTCCTCCACTCCTGTCCGCTGAGTGGAAAAACCACCCATTTCACTCAATAATTCCTGAGCACAAATGTCCTCCTCTACCTCCTCCTCTTCTTCCTGTCCTGCCCCCACAGGGGTCATGTGGCGTTGAGATCTGTGCGCCACGTCTACCGCACCCTGACCAGCCATTGTTAACAGCATTTGTTCCAGGACGTGCAACAGAGGGAATGACGTCGTTCATCCCATAGTCCTGCCGACTCACGAATAGCGTGGCCTCCTCAAAGGGCCTGAGCAAGCGGCAGGTGTCACGCATGAGCTGCCAATGGCTGACATCGAAGTTACACAGGGAGTACCTTTATCCGCTTGTAACATCAGGAAATCGGTGATGGCCTTTCGCTGTTCGTAAAGGCGGTCTAACATGTGTAGGGTTGAATTCCACCTTGTTGCAACGTCGCAGATCAGGCGATGCTGTGGAATTCCGTTCTGCCGCTGCAGCTCAAGGAGGGTGTGCTTTGCGGTGTAGGAATGGCTGAAATGCATGCAAAGTTTACGTGACATTTTAAGGATGTCTTGCAGTGGGATGGTGGATTTTAGGAACCGCTTGACAACCAGATTGAACACGTGAGCCATGCATGGCGCATGGCACAACCTTCCTTGACGCAGAGCAGACACCATGTTCTTTCCGTTGTCGGTCAACATGGTTCCGATTTTTTCAGTTTGCGCGGAGACAGCCATCTGTCGATTTCTCTGTTCATTACACTCAGAAGTTCCTCCCCTGTGTGACTACGTTCGCCAAGGCATACCAGGTGCAGCACAGCGTGACACCGTTGCGCCCTGCACATGTGATATGCCGGTCGGGTAATGGGACTTGGCACGGGGGGGGGCGGCTGAGGACACGGCGGAAGAAGAGGTGGTAGAGGCGGACATCTTTTGCCGGACCAAGGACGTGCAAACGTGGAGGCAAAAGCGGCGTGACCTGTCCAAGTTGCTGGTGCGGCTGTGACGGCACCACGTTCACCCAGTGGGCCGTAAATGACATGTACTGTCCCTGACCGTAGTTACAGCTCCACACGTCGGCGCTGCCGTGCACTTTGGCAGAGACCGACATGCTCAAAGACTGGCCCACCATCTCTTCTACATGTGAATGCAGGGCTGGCACTGCCTTTTTGGCGAAGAAATGACGGCTTGGCACTCTCCACCGCGGCGCGGCACAAGCCATCATTTCTCGGAAAGGTGCTGAGTCCACCACTTGGAAAGGGGAGGGGACTGCAGCACCAGCAACTTGGACAGGAGGACGTTCAGCTTTTGCACCGTCGGGTGCGTGCTCGCAAACTGTTATGTCTCTTGGAAACGGATTCCAAGAAAGACTGCTGACGGAATCCGTGAAGAGGAGTAGCAGGAGAAGGAGCATCTGAACGAGCGGAAGATGCCAACGAGCGACAACTCCCCTCAGCAGAGGTGTTGGAGCCTTGACTGGCTGATGGAGGGCGATTGACGTCGGGTGACGGAGCAAGTAACGGAGCGGGTGATGGAGCGGGGGCTGGGGCGGGCAGAACCGCCGTATCTTTATCACGGTTTTCCCAGGCCACCAAATGGCGACGCTGCATATGCTGCCGCAACGCTGTAGTCCCAACATGGGCCCCCTGGCCACGCTTGACTTTCTGGCCACATAGTCGACATACGGCTACGTTTACTTCCTCGGGCGGCTTGACGAAAAATTGCCACACCGCCGAGTAGGAAACTTTGCCCCCGATACTCCTCACTGGCTGACTGCTGCTTCCTCCGTGCACACCGGCACCACTACTGGCCGTGGTGGTAGGCTGCAGTGGAGCTGGTGCTCTACTCCGTGGCCGTTTGGCTCCACTGACACTGCTGCGACCCTGCTGCTGTCTCCTGGGCAACCCACCGACTGTTTTGCTCGCTGCCAAGCTGCCACCCTCTTCTCCTGATGATGCGGAAGAAATTGCCTGATGACGACGAGGCTGCCAAGTGCGATCAACCTCCTCATCATCATCAATAGGGTCTCCCTCACTACTAGCCCCCTCGGCTGCGTCTGGGTCAGGAGACAGACCTGTCTCTAGACCGGCTACCGAGCCACTCTCCTCGCCACTACTTCTTCGCCTGGCTGCTGAAAAGGCGGATGTCTCCCCCCGTTCCTGACCGCCCTCTGTTAGCTCTTCCTCACTGTACAGTGGGGCTGAGCCCACAGCATGCGATACTTCGCTTGGTGAGGGAACACCAAGGACAGGGGCAGGTAGAGGACACGTGATTTCAGTGGGCTTGGTCCCGGGCCATGCCAACTAACGGTTGTGTCTGACGTACCCACCGACCGTTGGCTGTAGGTGTCAGAGGTGACCTGGGAAGAGGAAGACGACCGAGCCAACCAATCGACGACGGCAGGGTTGTCGGTGGAGACACGACCGCTGGATGACACCGGGAGCACTGGCCTCTGGCTGCGAATAGTGCTGCCTCGACCCCTTCCTCTGCTGCCACGTCTGCTCGCTCCTAAAACATTGCCTCCTCTGCCACTCCTCTGCATGTTGTCTGACATACTCTTTAATTCAACGATTCTGTGTCCCTGAGTAACAATTCTGTGTCCCTGAGTAACAATTCTGTGTCTGTCCCTGAGTAACAATTCTGTGGCCCTAAGTAACGGTTCTGTGGCCCTCAGTAACAATTCTGTGTCCCCTCAGTAACAATTCTGTGTCTGTCCCTGAGTAACAATTATGTGGCCCTAAGTAACGGTTCTGTGGCCCTCAGTAACAATTCTGTGTCCCTGATTAACGTTTATGTGGCCCTAAGTAACGGTTCTGTGGCCCTCAGTAACAATTCTGTGTCCCTGAGTAACAATTCTGTGTCCCTGAAGTAACAATTCTAACAATGTGGCCTCAGTAAAACATTTCTGCCCTGAAGTAACAATTCTGTGGCCCTCAGTAACAATTCTGTGTCCCTGAGTAACAATTCTGTGGCCCTAAGTAACAGTTCTGTGGCCCTCAGTAACAATTCTGTGTCCCTGAGTAACAATTCTGTGGCCCTAAGTAACAATTCTGTGGCCCTCAGTAACAATTCTGTGTCCCTGAGTAACAATTCTGTGGCCCTAAGTAACAATTCTGTGGCCCTCAGTAACAATTCTGTGTCCAGTGAGTAACAATTCTGTGTCTGTCCCTAGTAACAATTCTGTGGCCTAAGTAACAGTTCTGTGGCCCTCAGTAACAATTCTGTGTCCCTGAGTAACAATTCTGTGGCCCTAAGTAACGGTTCTGTGGCCCTCAGTAACAATTCTGTGTCCCTGTCAGTAACAATTCTGTGGCCCTAAGTAACGGTTCTGTGGCCCTCAGTAACAATTCTG